AGGGACTGCAGCCCACGCCGTCGCCGGCGACTCATGGCAGCCCAGCTCCAGGTTGAGCTGTTGTTCAGCATCTCAGCTGCGGAGGGCAGTGTCACTGGCCCTCATATGTGGGATCCGAACCGGGGCCCTCTGGCATCCTAAGCGAGTTCTTAACCATCGCGCCACTCGGCCGGCCCTGTTTTTTCTTTTGTTTTCCCAAAACTTGGTCCAGTTTTGCATTTACAGTGGCCTCGGAGGTATTGAAGGGAGGAGTTGTTTTCCCGATGGGGAAAAAGATTTATGTGAAAAAAATTAAAAGGGTCCCCAAGCCCAGGAAGCTTAGCCAGCATGTCATTATGAGGGAAATCTTGCTCGCTGGTCATAAACAAGGACAAGGAGGTGGCTATGTGGATGCTCAGGGGAGTGCATGCGAATTAAGGGGTCACAGCCAATCCACGCGGTGCTGGCCTGTTTACCTGCCGTCTGCTTTCACGACAGAACTGATTGCCACCGAGACACACACAGGTCTGCTCCAGCAAATTAGCATTTTTCATCCGACTTTCCTCCTCTGGCAGTGACCACAGGTCACTGGGCCAGCAAGTGATGGACCTACACGACCCATCCTGAGACCAGAAAACCCATCATGGGGCTTTGATGCTTACTCGCCCGAGAGCAGTTGGCATCTCTTCCTGCCTTTCCCATCAATTGACCTACTTACACTGGGCAACTTGGGTAACAAGTAGGTGCCCAAGAACCTAAGTTCAAAAAACGTCACAAGAAATGGACACAAAGGTTGGGGGGGGGGTAAGGTGGTAAGAGAAGCATTTTATAATTCCTTAGATGTTTCAGCCCTTCATCTTTACAAAACAAATAACGCTGATTACAGATAGGCAAAAATGGATAGCAGGAATGAGATAGGAATCTGACAGCAGAGTTTAATGTTTAGTAATAATCGGAATAGCTCCTGTCTATTGATTATCTACTGCCTATCGGCCCCTTTGCAGATATTCTCTCCAATCCTCAAACCTGTGAGCTGGGGTGGGACCTGGAGCCAGACGGCCCCAGTTCTTATCCTGGCTCTGCACCTTTCTAGCTTGGGCAAGTCGCCGAGCCTTCCTGTGCCTCAGTCTCCCAAACTATAAACATGTGAAGCACAACTGTGTCACAGGGCATTGTGAAGAATAAAGAGATAGCTCACATGAAGTGCTTAAAGTTATGCCTGGCCCTGAGGTAGTAGTCAGGGAATGTTAACTAGTATTATTCACATGTGAAGAGAACAGGTGTGTGTGTGTAAACAGCTTGCTCAAACCAGCAGCTAGAAAGTGTCAGAGCAAGGAGGACCCCAGGGCTGCCAGGACCCACAATCTTCCCTCTCCTCCAGGCAGCCCTCCTGCTCAGAGCAGACACAGCCGCCAAGAAGCTGAGGGCAGTGTCTGGGCTCCCTCCTGCCCAGTCCCCAGCCTCCTCTGGTACCTGTCAGCTTCTCAGCGATGGGCCTGAACTCCTCAGGACTGATGTACATATCCCGGTCAGTGTCCAGGGAAGAGAAGAGAAAGAGGCCTTCAGTCCCCAGGGCCTTCAGGGCTGACTCCTGCTTGAGAGGAAGAGGCTGTGCTGAGCACCAGTTGGATACCATCTTCCTGAGTTCTCTCAACACCTCCCAGTCCATCTGTCCAAATGTCACTTCTGCACCGCCCCAGAGCGCCCCCCCACTCCCCTTCCTTGGTCCCTGCTTCACTCCATACTTTCATCCACTGTGCACGTTCTAAGTCCCCCACCCCCCAATTTGTTGAGTCTTCCCCAGTCCCTTCTTACGTGGCCCGTCCCCATTTCGCCTTATTCTTTGAGCCACTGTGGTCTCCTGTCTCCCCTCCGCGCTGTCCCAGTGCTTCCCAGGCCCCCTTCCAGATTCTCTGGGTCCCAGTTTCACTCTATTGTTGCAGTTCACTGTCCAAGTCACTTACTCTTGTGGACTGCCCTGCAGTTTGTTCGTGCCAGTGCCTCACACCGGCCGGTCCTTTCACCTCCCCCATCAGTCCTTCCAAGTCTGCCCGACCCCTGGTACCTCAGTTTCTTCTCACTTCCATGCCGCCCTCCCCAGCCCAACAGTCCCCTCAGGCTGCCCTTTTAGTCCCTTCCCATCCCCAGGCACCGTCCCCCTCCAAGCCAACACACGGGCCTGGCCTCCTCCGCCGCCACCCCACCCTGGCGCCCAGACCCTCTGCGAATCCCGCCGCGCCCGCCTGGACCCCCCCGCCCCCA